TTTGAGGTTCCAGTGAGTTATGATTGTACCACTGTACACAAACAAGCCTGAGTGACAGAGATCCTGTATCTTAAATAAATAAGTAAAGTTTACAAAAAGACATAAAGACCTAATGTTGCTTAGCAATTTAATTTTTATTCTCAACCATTAAAAATATTTGTGGACATAGGAGATGCAAATCAGATATGTCTGTTTATCATCATTATGTCGGAACATATTTGCAAAGATTTTTTTTTTTTTTTTTTTTTTGAGACGGAGCCTCAAGCTATACCCCTGGGTAGAGTGCCATGGCATCATGCTCTCCCCCCGGGGGCACAGCTTGAGGCTCTGTCTCAAAAAAAAAAAAAAAAAAAAAAAAAAAAAAAAAGAATATTTGTGGTAAGATGTCAAGATTTCAACATTAACGGGAGTTTGGAAGGAGTTGATTTCCAGCCCTCCTGGATAACCTTGAGGGGTTCGAGACTTCAGGGGAGAAAGTAACTGCAGATGTGGTAGCAACAGTAAGGGAACGAGAGTTAACAAGTGAAGATGGGACGGAACTGCTGCAGTCTCACTGATAAAACGTGAATGGTGAAGAGTTGCTCCTTATGGATGAGAAGGGAAAGTGGTTTCTTGAGATAGAATCTGCGCTTGGTAGAGATGTTCGTGGACACTATTGAAATGACAATGAAGGATTGAGATAGAATATTACATAAATTGAGTTGAAAGAATTGAGTCCAATTTCGAAAGAAGTTCTACCTACCAAATAGCATCGCAAGCTACAGAGAAATCTGTCATGAAAGAAAGAATCCATCAATGTGGCAAACTTCATTGCTGTTTTAAGAAATTATCTCCTCACCATCCCCTCTCCCATATATTACTATTTTTCCACTTTTTTCACCTTTTATCCCTATAGAAACATTGATCTGTTCTTGAACTTCACATAAATAGAAACCTTTTTTAATTCTCACAATTTTTAGAGGAAACTTTCATTCATGTGTCAGTTTTAAATTACAATTATGTGACATCAAATACTCCAAATTTATGTATGGTCACATATATTGTGTATCTATATTATCAAACCAGTATTGTTCACCTTATTATGTAAAAGTTTCAGGATTTCGTGTTATGCTTGGTTATATGCCCTTAAAATAAGCTCAGAAAACACTGAAATTCAGAAATTTTTATAAACTTCTTCCCAATAAATGTCAAAGAGCTGTTATAATAAAAAAAGAAATTATCACAGACACCCCCAACCTTCAGAGACCATCACACTGATAAGTCAAGAGGCATCAACATGAAGTCAAGACCCTTTACTGGTAAAAAGATCACGATTCAACAAAGGCTCAGATGATCATCAGCAATTTTTAGCCATCAGGTTTTTTAAATTGAGGTACCCACATTGCTATTTTAGACATAATGCTATTCCATACTAATTGACTACAATACAGTGTAAACATAACTTTTTCCTTTCTCGCTCTGTTTTATTTTTATAGATGTAGGGAGTATAAGTCTGGTTTTCGTTACATGGATATATTGTATCGTGGTAAAGTCTTAAGCTTTTAGTGTGTCCAGCACTATAATAGTACAACTTGTACACAATAGGTAATTTTTCATCTCTCAACCCCTGTCCCACCTTCTTACCTTTTGGAGTCTCCAATGTCTATTATTCTACTGGGTATGTCTATAAAACATAACTTTTCTATGCACAGGGGAACAAAAAAGTTCATGTGACTCAATTTATTGCAATATTCACTTTATCATGGTGGTCTGGAACTGTGCCCACAATATCTCCAAGGTATGCTTATACCTGATAAGAATCTAATGTCCAGAATATATAAAGAACTGTTGCAACTTGACAATGAGAAAGACAACCTGATTTTTTAAATGGGCAAAGGATTTGATAGACATATTTCCAAAGAAGATATTAAAACAGCTCATAAACAAGATGAAAAGATGCTCAGCACGATTAGCCATCAGAGAAATGGGGAGTGACTGCTCTGGGTATAAGTTTGGGTGGGGGGGGCAGGTAATGGAAACATTGTGGGGCTATACAGTGGTGATGGCTGCACTATCTTGTGAATATATTGAAAAACACTAAATTATACACTTTAAAGTGGTGAATTTTATGGTATGTAAATTATATCTCAATAAAATACAAATAACCCAATTTAAAAACAGGTGAAGGATCTGAATAGCTATTTCTCCTGATGAAGATATACAAATCGCCAGTAGGTATGTAAAAAGATGACCAACATCATTATTTCTGAAGAAAGTGCTTATCAATTTCACAATGAGAAACCACTTAACACCCACTGATATGGCTCTAATCAAAAAGTCTGACAAAAACAAATGTTGGTGAGGATGTGGGAAAAATGGAACCCTCATAGACTGCTAGTGGGAAAATAAAGTGGAAAACAGCCTGACAGTTCCTCTAATGATAAAACATAGAGTCACCATATAATTCAGCAATTCTACTCGTAGGTGAAATGAAAACATATGTCCATGCAAAGATCTGTACTAGTCCCAATCTGTCAGCTGGTCACTGGAAGAACAATCCGAGGTATCTAGCAATGGAATATTACTTGAGAGTTTAGAAAATGATGTACTGGTACCTGCTACAACGTGACTGAACCTTGAAAAATTATGCTAAGTGAAAGAGGCCAGACCCAAAAGGACGTATGTTGTGTGATTCCACTTAAATGCAATGTCCAGAATAAGCAAACCCATAGTGCCATAAGGTATTGTAGTGGGGTTGAAGGGAAAGGGGAGTTATTGCTAATGGGCATGAGTTTGCAGAGTGATGAAAATGTTTTAAAATTGATTGTGGTGTTAGTTAGGTCAGGGGAAGCCTAAACTATCAGATCTAAACAGAATTTTGCTTCCAGAAAGCCTTCCCTGATCCTTTCCTCCCATCCCACTTAGTTGATACCACATCGCAAATTCTCACAGCATCCTTTTAATTACCCTTTTGTAATACATGTTTAGAATGTTTGATCGAATATCTGCATTTCCCCCAAGATTCTAAGCTCCACGGAGTGGGGACCTTTTCCTCCTTATTCACTACTGTATCCCCATCAGCCAGTATGGGACCTTGTACATAGTAGGTGCTCAATAATTTGTTGGATTGATGTATGATCAATCCATGTAACGATGAATCAATGTCTGGAATCATAAACAGTGATAATCAAAAGTTCAACTGGAGACTTTGGATTTCCAAATGAGGTGGTCCTAAGAAAGAGTCTCCTTGCAAAACAGCCTAGTTGGAGAAATGTTAATGATTTACCTGTGTTGAGTGAGCACATTTACAGCTGAAGGGTGGTTCGCACAGTAAGCCAGATACATAGATTTAAAATGAGGCATGAGACTCAGTAGACAACCTCCTACTTTGTGTTGGTTTTCTGGAAACCTGGAAACAAAACAGATGAAACCCAGAATGTAAAATAGGAAACATGAGGTAAAGGAAGATGATTCAATCAGACCTGGCAGCATGAAAATCTTCTGAAAGTTTTCCCAAAGTTAAAAGAGAAACTATTATGACCATTTTATCCCTGAAATGTAGGTTCTTGACCACTGCTTTAAACTCTAGCCACCAAACATAGCTCTAGTCCAGGGGTCCTCAAACTTTTTAAACAGGGGGCCAGTTCACTGTCCCTCAGACCGTTGGAGGGCCGGATTGAGGGCCCCGGGATGAGTCAGCTGCTAAGCAGGACAGGCAGTGGCAACAAAAACACCCAGCAGGCCGGATAAATGTCCTCGGCAGGCTGCATGTGGCCCGCGAGCCGTAGTTTGAGGACACCTGCCCCTCTGCCTACTTAGGTAGAGCGTTTGTTAGAACACTAAGAGTGGTTTGACACCGTGAACATCAGCACCCTAATGCATTGATTCTGCATCACTATTTTGTTCCAGGACAAGGTATCAAAGCCATAACAGATGTACAAATACTCTAAATGTTCTAAAGTACCAAATAAAAGAAAAAGAAAACACGAACAGCCAAGCTGAGTATTCTAACAGAAATATGCCACACTTACTTTGAACATTCTTCCAGTGCTTGGCAAAGTGTCTGTTGAAATGTGCATATTTCCTCAAAGTTTCCCAGTAAAGATGTAAATTCCACAGTACTCAGGCTGAAATAAAAATACAGTGTGTTGCAGTTCAGTTGATAGCTATCTGTCTCTGGTCTAGAGAGAGAGAGATTAGCTGGTAGTTGCTAATACATGGCAAACATAATGGAAGAAATTCCTATATTTTAATTTTGGCTTTTTAATTTACACCAACTCTCTGGTCTTAGGCAAACCTCTTTTCTTAAGCTTCCTTGCTTGATTTCCCTTTTATGTAATAAGAATACTGAGCCTAAAGAAAATGAGTGCCATAAAGGACATTTAGGTATTTTATAAAGGAATGAGCAAATGAATGACAAGTGATTAATATCTAAGCATCTAAAAAGATAAAATACGTCATAACTGTGAATAAGTGTAAACACTTCAGAGCATCTTCCTCTATCCTAGAGGCACTGGAAAAGGAATTGAAAGATATTATACACGCTCACAAAATGCATAGAAAAAACAGCAAAGTCAACTTTCTCCTAAACTAAATGCTCATTCATCAACTAAGGGAATATTTATGCGAGCAGGAGGGAAGACAATAGTACTGATTTTGTTTATTTGTTTGTTTTCAGAGCAGAGTGGTGTCAAATAAAGACACACTCAGTAACTTTATACAGGCCCTTGTGTGAAGAAAGTTTTCATCTATTTTCCTCCTACCAGACTGCAAGTTAGAACGAGAGCCGGCACTCATGCAGCACTGAACACGTATGCAAGCATTTCCACCATATAGTAAGTCTAGGAGACGAGGAGTATCGCTGGCTCCATTTCACAACGGAGGAAGCCCAGGCTCAGAGAGGTTAAACAATCACCCTAAGCCACAAAGCCTGGAAATGGCAAAGACAAAAATTGAACCAAAACAGTCTAGCTCCAGAGTCCATGTTCTTAATCAGTCTGGGGAAGTAAAGTTTTCTTTTTTTTTTTTCTTGAGACAGAGTCTCAGTCTGTCACCCTGAGTAGAATGCCGTGGCATTATGGCTCACAGCAAACTCACACTCCTGGGTTCAAGTGATCCTCTTGCCTCAGCCTCCTGAGTAGCTGGGACTACAGGCACCCTCCACAATGCCCGGCTAGTTTTTTTTTTTTTTTTTTTTTTTTTATGTTTAGTGAAGACAGGGTCTTGCTCTTGCTCAGGTTGGTCTCAAACTCTTGAGCTCAAGCAATCCTGCTTCAGCCTCCCAAAGTGCTGGGATTACAGGTGTGAGCCACCGGGCAGGCCTGGGAAAAAAGTTTTCTGAAGATTTGCTTAAAAGGCCAGTGTTTGCCATGTGTCCTTTCTCCTTAAGAATATAATAGTACCAGCAGAGTATTCCCAACGGAATGATTTTTGCTGACTAATAAAGGGAAGACCTAAACAAACATTACCAGTAACCCATAGAGAATAAAAAGCTCCCAGTTCCTCTGCTGTAATGCCCTCCCAAACCACAAGCTGGAAAACCCCTGTTCTGGATGTCAAAAATGAAACCTTTAGCCAGCCAGCTTCCCTGCCTGCTGCTCTCAGAGCAGCAAGAACCCAAGTTGGGGTTTACTTGGCCCCTTCAGGATCAAAAAATAATCAGTCTGGTTTGTGCAAATCACTTTGAGGCCAAAAAGACACAACTAATGGAAACTTACTATAATAGCGTTCTCAACTTATTTAGGAACAGTGCAGGTCTGACTCAGGTCTCTCACCTCCTCCACCCTGGCTCTTTTCCTTTCCTTTTACTATTTCTTCTCTTTTCTTTCCTTTCTTTCTTTTTTTTTTTTGGACACAGAGTCTCACTCTGCCCCCAGGCTGGAGTGCAATGGCATGATCATAGCTAAGTGCAGCCCCCAACTCCTAGACTTGAATGATCCTCCTGCCTCAATCTTCTGAATGGTTAGGACTACAGGCGCCTGCCACCACACCCAGCTAATTTACCTACTTTTTTTGGTCAATGTGAAGGCTTGCGATGTTGCCCAGGCTAGTCTTAAACTCCTGGCCTGAAGCAATCCTCCTGCCTCAGCCTCCCAAAATTTGCTGGCATTACAAGAATGATCCACAGCACCCAGCCCCATTTACTATTTCTTGATTGGTGATCTGTTCCACTGTCATTTGAAATTTTACCATCTCCCTTCCCTGGATTACCACTTTAGTTTCCCTTTCCTCCCCTGTCTGTCACCACAAGAAAACAGAAGGTACATTTCACTTGGTGGCAAGAGATACAGTGGATCCAGTCTGGCCACTTCCTGGCCGTGTAATGGGCAAGACAGTGAACCTCTCGGGATTTCAGTTTCTTCTCTATTCATTCAAGATGGTCATTTTTCCCAGGGCACTAGACTTACTGCTTCACTGAGGTTCCATTCAGCTCTAAGAACTATGATTCATAGAACACTTCATATTTCACATAAGAATGACAAAAAACACTTTGTTGGTGATCATGTTTAAATTCCTACAACACAGGAATACAAAATCCTTTCATACTGAAGTAAGATTCGCACAGTGCCAGGAGAATAACCAAGTGGGAAATTTAGGACGACATTATGTCTAAATAAGCATAATTTGGAAAAAGAGAAAAAATAGTGAAATACATTAAACTTATTTAAGCCTGAAGTTCATGGTTTAGGCAACTGTCCAGCAAAAGTAACCCTTACAGCACTAAACAAATATGGGCTGACTGCTAAGTTTTCCCTAGGACTTAGAGACCATGATCTCTAAAATTTAATCACTTAAAAACGATGAGTGCAGTTAGCCACTATTTGTTAAATATGCTATGCCTATAAGCATTAAAAAAATGAATGGTCAATATTTTTCTTTCATGAAAACGAATGTTTCCAATTCAGGCCTTAGATAATCTTTTCAGATTTCCAAGACCAGAATAGGGTTTGAACATTTTGTTTTAAAAAACGTTTGAACATCTCTTTATCATTCATATTTGCCTGGGAGAAATACTGGCTTGAATTGCTCTTATGAACACTCACAAAATGCCAGGCTTTTTGCACTCTCAGAACATGGGAAAGAGGCTCTGCCCTGGTAAGCAAAGGTTAGGATGAGCAGGAGAATTTCTAATCTATGTGCTTTCAAAACAAAAGCACCATGAGCCCTTTTCTGGTAAGGCAAAACTGGATACGTCACTTTTAAAAAGTACAAAATAAAAATTATAATAGGAATGAGGTCTGCTCATTCCTTTTACAGCCAGAAAGAGGAAAAAAAAAAAGCCAAACTCTCCAAAAGCAACATGTTTCATAATTTCTGTTGTCCTGACCATGTTCTTGGCAACCTGTGATCTGTGGAAATTCTTCTAAAGGGCAAAATCAATTATTCAGTGACATAAGAGAAATAACTGCATATGCTGACATTATCTGGCTTTATTTAGCAAGGGATTTAAAGTAAAAATCTTACTTGTTATTGGATTGCAAGGGTCTCAAGTAGGTAACAAGAAGAGAGTGAAGTTCTTTAGCGTATTCTTTTTCGGTATCCAAGATGTTCTGTAAGACCTATGAAGAAACAAAGGTCAACATACTGTAAATGCCTAGACAGTCCAACGTAATACGCAGCTTTAGATCTTTTACCAAATTACCGAGGCGGGGGGCATCCTATTTACTCAGACTAGCACTGTAAGGAAAGAACACAAAATCTGAATGAACTGTGTTTCAATTTAGCAAACTACTATAATAATTGCATGACAACTAGTTCTACTGTTTAACTCCTACCATCACAATTTTTCAGAGTTACCCAGAACTGGAGGGGTCTTGATATTGCATACTACTGTTTAAAATGCTCCCATGTGTTTTTAATCATTTTATCCTCAGAAAAGGCCTCAGTGAGTTAACAAAGGATCATTATTTCCATTTTATGTGTGAGAAAATTGTTGTCTTAAGACAGAGATTCCACGTCAGGCTGATTTAAGGATAACTGTAATATCAAATATCATAAAAGTTTCTTATGTTTCTGATAAGACCTTTAGGGAACACAATCTGAGGACACAGTGAATTTTTAAGCAGAGATAAAACCGGTCTTTTAAAAAAGGCAAAAGGTGCTACTGTGAACAATTCAAAGAGAAAAGGAGGCCAAAATGTGAGGAATTTAGCAAGAGAAATAACACTGATGATTATTATAAATAACCAAATCTTATAGGCAAAACAACCACTTTACAGGTCCATAATTTCTCTCCCCATGCCAGTCCCAGGGTCATACCCCATTTCCCAGCCTCTTCTGGGGGCAGGTATAACCTTCATTTCAAGCTCTTTGTTTCATATCTTCTATTTCATTCTACAAAATTTCCTGAGTGCCTACTCTGTGCCCCAATTGCCCACAGGGAATTTCCACTCTAGACACAGAGGACAGCATTAAACAGAGGATTAAAAGGCAGAGTAAAATATCCTTAGCTAAAAGAAGTGTGTTAACCTACCAATATACCAGACATACTCACAAGGCAATGCATCGTGATCTGCTTTTGAAAGGTTGAATATTCAAAGCAGTGGAGACCCAGGTGTCTGTGGCTTTTCTGGGAAACAACTGGGCTGGAGAGAGATGGTCCTGACTCTGCCACTGAATGGCAGGTCGCTTCACTTTAAAGGCTTCACTGACCTCATCTCATATTGTGACATCTCACCTACCTCACGGACCATTGTGAGGACGTGGTGAGACAGGATACAGACAAGTGCTAGGCAAGGGGGAAACAGTCCCACTATTTCAACAGGTTTAAAAAGGATTCTCAATGGCAGCAATATAGACATTTCAAACCAATTACTCATTGTAATGGGATACCCTGAGCATTGTAGTATATTTACCAGCATTTCTGACCTCTACCCACTAGGTGCCAGTTACATCTCACTTCCACCCCAGTTATAACCACCAAATACATGTCCAAATGTTGCCAAATGTGACCTGAAGGGCAATGTTATCCCCAGTTGAGAATCATGAGCATAGAAGGCCACAGGCCACAAGGTGGCTTCAAAAGCTTAGGGTTGAGTTGTAGCACCCTGAAAGCATGTCTACTTTCAGTTCCTCCAGTCCTCAGAAACTACCCTGTAAAAGTGTAAATGCAGGGCTCTGGAGGTACTTACGTTCTCTGAAATTAATCTAGTGATGGAATCAAAATGTTACCCCCCCATAGAAAGTCCAAAGCACAACAAAGGAAATTAGACACTACTTTGAGATGAATGAAAATGAAGACACATTATCAAAACTCACGGGGTGCAGTTAAACAGAACTTAGAGAAAAATATATAATTACGATGCCTATATTAAAAAAGAAGAAAGAGGACTCCCAGTTTCCAGTGTCACATGTAAAGATTGTAAAAGTTTCTACTCAATCCTAACAAGAAGTAAGCAGTTAAGCAAAATGGAATAAACAGATACTTTTTCTTAGATCCACCAGAGAACTGAGGTCAATGGGAAAAACTGCTACTCCAAAAACTGGCAAGACAGACACGCAGGTACAGAGAATCACAACTTAACTAGAACAGAGACCCGCAAGCAAAAGCCTCCAGAGCAGTGGTTCTCAACCTTCCTAATGCCGCGACCCTTTAATACCGTTCCTCATGTTATGGTGACCCCCAACCATAAAATTAGTTTCGTACATGAGGAACGGTATTAAAGGGTGAGAGCATTAGGAAGATTGAGAACCACTGCTCGAGAGGAACTAGTAGCAGGGTAAAAAAAACTTACACTGCAACTGAAAAACTGTTGAGATCTCAGTGTGAACAAGTCTGAGAGTTGGGAGCTCCAGGGTGTCCAATATTAGGAAAGCACACCCACACTGTTTTGAGTTCTACCTCCAGGAGTTCTACCAGGTTCAAGCAGTGAAGGTTAGAGGAAAATATCCTCTCATGCTCCAGGCATGGAGAGGGGGAAGTAACTATTCTGAAATACTCCAGAGCATTCTGTTCTTAATAAAGTCTGCCTTCAGGAGAAACTATTTTACCAGAGCATGCCCTATTGGAGTTTTATCAGAGCCTAACTAACATGGGGTAAGGGAAATGCCTGCCTCCAGCCAGCTCTAGCCTTAGTGTGTGGGGAGGAAGATATCCAACTCCAGCCTTCTCTAGCCATCCTGTCCCACCTAAGAAGGACTGAAAAGCACTAGTGAAGTTCACAGTCCAAGGGCCCACAATCATTAAAAAACTGAGACCTATTCAAGGAAATATAGACTGCTTCCTCTTCCTCCTCACCTTACCACCACATTACTAAAGGCCTGTTTAACACAGTTCCTTTTATCCAGTTCATCTATCATGTCAGACTTCCAAAAAAAAAATTACATGGCATATTAAAAGGCAAAAAACACAGTTTGAAGAGACAGGATAAGCATCAGAACTAAAGTCAGACATCACAGAAATGTTGAAATTATAAGACCAAGATTTTAAAATAACTGTGATTAATATGCCACTCTAACAGAAAAAGTAGGCTATATACACAAACAGATCAATTGTAAGCAGAGAGACAGAAATTCTAAGGAAGAGCCAAAAAGAAATGCTAGAGATCAAAAACCCAGTGACAGAAATGAAGAATGCCTAGGATGGGCTCAATAGGAGACTGAATATGGCTGAGGAAAGAATCTCTGAACTTAAGGACATGTCAACAGAAACTGTTAAGGACAAAAAGCAAACAGAAAAATAAAGACTCAACAGCAGCCAAGCTGAAAAAGCAGTCAAGGACTCTATCCCATTCACAGTAGTGCCAAAGAAGATGAAATATTTAGGAGTCTACCTAACAAAGGATGTGAAAGATCTCTATAAAG